GCAGTCGGGGTCCCCGTCGCAGGCCCACAGCTGCGGCACACACACCGCTGGGCTGCTGCACTGGAATGCTGTGGGGCCGCAGGTGTGTGTGTGTGTGGGACACGCTGCCTCATCACTGCCGTCGCTGCAGTCGCTGTCGCCGTCACACACGAAGGAGAGCGACACACACTGCCCGCTGCCGCAGCGGAACTCCTCAGCGCTGCAGTTCTTCTGCGCTACACACACACACACACAGCAGAGTCACACACCTGAGAGGCTCACCTGTCCTCAGGTAAACTGAGCTGTATTTACCGCAGTTCTGCTCGTCTGCGCCGTTCTCACAGTCAGACTTCCCGTCACAGCGCCACCTGGAGGACACACACTGATTCAGCCGGTCACCACAGCTGAACTGACCCGACACACATGTCTTCTGTCCTGCAGACGCAGAGGAGTCATTAGCATGAGGAGAGTGTGTGTGTGTGTGTGTGTGTTTCACCCTGTCTGTGTCAGATCCTCTGATAAACAGCGGCGCTGATAATGTGTGTTTCACTGATGGACATGACTGATGCGTGTGTGTGTGTGTGTGTGTGTGTGTGTGTGTGTGTGTGTGTGTGTCGGGCGTGGCGTCATCAGGTGTGTGTCTGACGAGAATCTGACAGAAAACTGGACAGACCGCTTCCTGTGAGCGCCGTGCGTTTCCACAACAGAACCCGCCCAGAACAGACTGACCTGAGCCGCTGATGCTGACCGGAGACCGGCTGATGCTGACCGGAGACCGGCTGACGCGTGTTTATTGTTGTTATGACAGGACTGAGCGACTCTAGTTTGACTCTCATCCTGTACAAAGTGACCAATTAGAAACGGAGGTTTAACTTCCTGATTAGCGCTGTCAACCAATCAGCGATCACAGCGCGTGCGCTGGCCTCCACCGCAGCCAATCGGAGGACGAGTTTATTATTGAGCCGAACCGACAGCGGATTAAATAAACAGCTATATTTACTGTACGAGACCGAACCGAGCCCGCAGCTCAATCACAGAACAACCGAGACATAACCGCTCAAACACCGGGAAACCGGAGAGATCGGAGGAGCGGTTCTCAGATCAGTGAAACTCACCGGTTCCGGAGACCCAGAAGAGCAGCAGAACCGAGCAGACGAGCCGAACGCCGACCCGGGGCTCCATCAGCGTCACGTTAGAGCTCTGAGGGCGGATAGAGATGCTGTTCTGTACCGGGAGCGGATTCTGCGAGCGGTGGCGGAGATTCTCCCTCTCTGAGCAGAAGCCGAGCATTTGAATGAAGCCGCGGGGGGCGGGGCTCCGGCTGTAGTGTTGAGGCCAGGGGCGGGGCTCCAGCAGTGGTGTGATGTTAGAAAACAGGCGCGTCATGCCGGTGGGCGGAGCCTCGGCTCTGACGATGAGTTTATTTCACACACAGAAGAATGAATGAAGACTGATCTGATCTGAACATCTCTGTGTGTGTGTGTGTGTGTGTGTGTGTGTGTGATAACATACATGTGCTGAAGTTATGCATGACACACACACACTGTAATCCTGCATCAGGCCTGATATCATTGCTAACTGAGGGAATGATGAACACGAGCTGGAGAAAGCGGCCCTCAGGGGACCAAAACTCCTCACACACACACACACACACACACCAATGTACAATGGTGCACACTGCACACCCCAAACACTGAACATTTCCAAGAAACAGACACACACGAGGCGTGAAGTGCTCAGAATCCCGATCATCCGTGTTTATATTATCAATAAAACACACACACACACACACACACACACACACACACACACACACACACACACACACAGGTGTATGGGAGACCAGAGACTCTCCGCTATGTGTGGAATGTGGAAATATCAGTTGTTGACATCAAGAATGAGCAGAAACCTGAACATCGACACACACGGACACGCACACACACACACACACACACACACACACACTCTGACTCTGTGGATGACCTCTGCTTGACCTCTGCAGGTGTGTCAGGAATGCGGCTCCACCTGAGGACAGTTTCATCAGAAGATGCAGCACAGCCAATCAGCTCAGAGAACACGAGCGGAGGAGTCTGATTGGCCAGTATTCAGAAGTACAGACTCTTCATCATCAGCATCATCATCATCAACGTTTCAGATGAAGAGTCCCCGTCTGCAGCAGCGCCACCTACAGCTCTGTACAGGCCTGTGCTGATCTTAACACACATCTGCTCATCTGCTTCAAGTGTGTGTGTGTGTGTGTGTGTGTGTTTCTGTATCTGCTGTCTCTGAGCTGCAGCAGCTGTTCCTCTTCTCTATCCTCCATCTCCCCTGGCGATACTCGTCTCGAGGCCTCAAGAGATTCTGCAGCGCCACTGAGGAGATCCAAGTGCTGGGAAGAGATGATGCCCACCATAGAGGACTTCTAGAGGTCTCCATAATCCTGGACCAGGCCGTATCCTGAGCAGCTGCTGTGGTGGTCATGGAGGAGTGGAGAGCGTGAGATGGATTCCTGTAAGACCCCAGTGACAGACGAGTCTCCGCATTGATCCTGTGGGCCAGCCTGAACACCCTCCAGTGACCTGCTCACACCTGCAGCTTCTCCACGATGGACGTCCAGCGCTCTCCAGCCTCCAGCGCCTAGAGGAGGTGCACACTCTGAAGCAGTGGTGTGAGGAAAACTGCCTCTCACTCACCATCAGCAAAACCAAGGAGCTGGAGGTGGATTTCAGGAGGGAGAAGAGAGAACACCCCCCCATCACCATCAACGGGACGCCAGTGGAGAGAGTCAGCACTTTCAAGTGTCTTGGAGTCCACATCGCTGAGGATTTGACATGGACTGCCCACACAGACGCAGTGCTGCGGAAGGCACAACAACGCCTCTTCTTCCTCAGGCGTGTCAGGAGGTTTGGAATGAGCCCCACATCCTCCGCTCAGTCTGCACCTGCACTGTGGAGAGCATCCTGTCCGGCTGCATCACCACCTGGTGTGGAAACAGCAGCAGCAGCAATCGCAAAGGCCTACATAGGATTGTGCGAACTGCTGGACGGGTAGTAGGGGGTGAGCTTCCCTCCCTCCAGGACATCTACACCAGGCGGTGCATGAGGAAAGCCAAGAGAATCATCAGTGACTCCAGCCACCAAAGCCATAGACTTTCTCTCTGCTCCCCTCAGGCAGCCGGTTCCCCAGCATCCGGTCACGCACCAGCCGACTGAAGGAGAGCTTCTGCCCTCAGACTATCAGGCTGATGAACACTTAACACACCCCACACAGACTCCTCCACACCCTCCCTGCACACAGCATGCGCTGCACTTTAACCAACCCATACTGAAACAACACTGCCTCCAGCTATGAGTGCACCTGTTCACTGCACACGTCGCTGTCAATCTCACATTGTCCTGTAGTTTTGGGAGTTTGCTTTACTTTTCACTCATCATACACACCATACGTGCCGCTGCTGATGTGACGATAAAAGAGATTTGATTTGATTTTTTGATTAGACTGCAGCTCTGCACAAGACGTCGGGCCAGAGGAGACATGGTGGTGCCCACCTGAGCCTGGCTTCTCTCCAGGTTTCTCTCCTTCACTTTGGTCAGTTGGTGAAGTTTGTTCCTGCACTGGCCTGCTTGGTTTGGTTCGTGTGGAGCTGCTCATGGATGGATTTGCTCTTCAGTGTTTGGAGGCCGAGTTACCAGAGACTGAAGATCAGTGAGTGCTGGGTCACAGCCTGAGTGTGCTGGGTTAGTTTAGTGACCCGTCTGATCCTGAGTTTGCTGATCCAGCATGGTGGAACCGCATCAGTGTGTTTGTGTTTCAGACTCAAGCTATGTAATAAATGACACACTCACACACACACACACACACACACACACACACACACACACACACACACACACACACACACACGCACACACAGAGGGAGGCTCAGATGTTTATTGGGTGTGTGAGAGAGTATCAGAGCTCATGCCTTACAGAGAGAGAGAGAATAAGCAGATACAGTCAAGCAGATCATCAACAGCAGAACAAGCGTTTACACACTACACACAGCAGCTACACAACCACACTGCGGCCGCTCACACACACCGCTCTGTCTGAACACGGACAGATGAACACTTATTCCAGACGCGCGCAGCAGAACCAGCCGAGGAGTGTGTTAAAGATCACACACACACACACACACACACACACACACACACACACACACACACATACACACACATACACACACACACACACATACACACACATACACACACACACACACATTAGGGGTGTAACAGTACAGTATTCATCTCGAACCATACCAAAGTGCAGTTCAGAGTGTGTTCACACACAATGATGATGAGGACAGTCACACACACACACACACACAATGATGAGTTCAGTCGGACACACAAACACACACACAAAGATAATGAGTACACACACACACACACATACACACACAATGATGAGTTCAGTCAGACACACACACACACAAAGATAATGAGTACACACACACACACACACACACACACACACACAATGATGATGAGTTCAGACACACACACGGTCCAGATGTGCTTCAGTGTTGGACAGGATCAGCGCTGAGGCTCGTTCAGTGTGTGTGTGTGTGTGTGTGTGTGTGTGTGTGTGTGTGCGCGTGTGTGTGTGTGTGTGTGTGTGTGTTAGCTGAAGGCACCAGTCCCGGTTCTGATTGGTCCAGTGCTCTGCTGCTGACAGTGATTAGCGCCGCTGCTGTGTCATATTACAGCATTTACTGCGAGTATTGTGTTTATCTGACCCGACCCGAGACTACAGAGTACTGTTACACCCCTAACACACACACACACACACACATACACACACACACAGCAAATCAGCACAGATTAGCAGTCCGCTTCTACGCTACGAGGTCTACTGTACTTGCTCATGC